GGGGGGATGACAGCAGCTGATAGACAGGTCCAATCTCAGAAGCAAGTTGCTGGAAGACTGCTCAGGTAAGCCTGCACTTCCCACACATAGTGCTCTATAATGTATTGCTGGGATTTGTATTTCTCTATAGCTGATGGTACATTGTACTGTACATTATACATAGGAATACAAATACCAGCAATGCATTATACACTGTATGTATAATGTATTGCTGGGATTTGTTGTACTCCTCTATAGCTGGTGATATTCTGCATTGCGTGGAATAGAGGACTACAAGTCCCAGCAATAACATATTATACAGCGCAATGCGGAATAACACCAGCTATAGAGGACTACAAAACCCAGCAAAAGCACATTATACAGCGCAATGCAGAATGCCGCCAGCTATTATGTACTATTGCTGGGATTTGTTGTACTCCTCTATAGCTGGTGATATTCTGCATTGCGTGGAATAGAGGACTGCAAGTCCCAGCAATAACATATTATACAGCGCAATGCAGAATGCCGCCAGCTATTATGTACTATTGCTGGGATTTGTTGTAGTCCTCTATAGCCGGTGCCATTCTGCATTCATTGCTGTATAATTTTACACTTTCCATTTCACTATATTGCACACCACACTATCTTTTTTTTCTTTTTTACTTCCACCCCTCCAAGCTTGCTCCTGTGATGGACTACAACCTCAATACAAACTAGTAGTCCTATCACTGGAGCCATTTTTTAAACTTTTTATTTTATTGTTTATCCGATTAACCGATTAATCGAACTTAATAATCGGCTAACTAATCGATTTTGAAAATATTCGTTAGCTGCAGCTCTAGCCCTAATGTTTTCCTTTTTAAATACAATAACTTAAGAAGGGGAAGTGGCTTCAGGTGCAAAGAAGAAACTATATCCTGTTAGCTTTACCTGAGTCACAGAGTATCCACTTTATTCCAGTACAAGTTTAACATTAAGTAGGGATATACCGATACCAGGATGCAATGGTGACACCCGGGTGCGTGCCCCACCCCCCTTGTGACGCCACTGACCGATACCAGTATGGCCTGGTGGTGAGGGAGCATGGAGACGGCTTCCCAGCTAATCAGGATGCCGGGCAGCGAGTCATTACACGCCGCCTGGGTTCCTGAATGGGACTTCCGGTATCGGCGAGTACCGGAAAAAAAAATATCTGTACTCGATACCGAAAAACCGGTATCGGTGCATCCCTAACATTAAGTGTACCTGAGGGAAAGTAACCCTGACCCAAAGCACTGCTCTGTTCACCACTACATCCACGTTAATATATATATTATAATAGAATACTCCCAGATTTCAGCGAAACCACCAGAATCGGGTTTAAACGCATGTATTTGCATGGTTTGGTGAATATATTCTCCTACTGGTGAAAGTGTCTGTGTATCTTTTTGTGGTTTTACTCTGTAAATCTAATAATGAAAAGCACTCTTTTCCTTTCTTTGTCATTAAGGATCTCTTGTCAGCGTTTATTAAAGGACCCACACGTACTCCGTATGAGGATGGCTTATTTCTGTTTGACATACAGTTGCCTAATAACTACCCAGCTGTGCCTCCTTTCTTCCGCTACCTTTCTCAGTGCAGTGGGAGGCTCAACCCAAACCTGTATGATAATGGGAAAGTGTGTGTCAGTCTGCTGGGCACCTGGATAGGAAAGGTAATCATATCCACTTTAATGAGTGTTACACTTACTACCCATTATCTGTCTGCATAAAAGCCAAATATACTAGCTGGTCTGATTTTATTTTTAGCTGGGTTGTATAGTTTTGATAGTTGACATGTTTGTATATGATGGTTTATGTAATATTTTAGTTCTAGAATAAATGTACGCATATCCAAGGTGTATCCATGACACTTTAAAAATAGCATAGTTCTGTACTATCTGCATGCTTGTTGGCAGCCTATGTATGGCTGACTGACTAAAGTTGGGCATACACTGTTAGAATTTCATCTGATTCCTGTGAAATGAGCAACATTCTAACAGTGGGTGGCCCTGCCGGCACTACCTGAACAAACTTTGAGTGAAAAATTTAAAGGAGCCGGACAGAAAATTGTCAGCTGAACAGCTGCAGTTACAGTTTAGGTGTTCTGGTTGGATGCTGGCTGTCGGAGCACAATCCTTCCTCCTTGTTTAGTATGGATGGTAGAAATCTATAGATTTTTCTTTGTCAGCCCAGTAGCCTGAATGTGTATGGCCAGCTCAAGCCAAGCATTCCCAAGTTCCTATGTGGGAGAGAGATGTGTTCTTTTGAGTCGTTTAGCTGTGTGTTTAATCTGTTCTTTAGCGTCCTTTAAGGGCCCAGTCACACCAGCACAAGTGCGTTCCAGTGCGTTCAGCCTCTGGAACGCAACCCGGACGGCTCACTTTGTTTTGGGGCGGGAGGGGGCGTGGCGGTGCATTAAACTCAATGGCACCGCAGCCACGCCCACGGTGCGATCGCCGGCACCTGAACGCGTGGCACATTAGTGCCTGCGTTCTGGCCCAGTGCGATCTGCAAATAAACTTGTGACATTTGTACTTTATATTGGTGTCACTGATGTTTCTGGTTCTTCCAGTTACAAGGGGCTATACATTACAGGGTCCCTCGGTGTTGATGTGGTGACCTGCATTTTACATGTGGGCCCCATGGGGGAGCTCTTCTCATTTCTGCTTAGGTTTGATGGGCAAACTGTTAAGGTTTATTTCCCTCCTCCTCCTTCGTCTTCTCCTTCTCTTCCTCCTCCTCTCTGGCTACTGATGACATAGTTTTCACTCAATGAAGAGCTGCAGCTCATGAAAGTTATACAGCAGCTGGGCATTAGTGACCCTTAACTAGGTGCCTGGAGTGAGCACACTTTTTCCTTTCTTTCCTTGATAAAGGGACATAGCACATAGATGCAGCTCACAAATACAATACACCTTATGGTATCCTTTATTGCCTCCCTTCTCCTGGGAGATGTTCCGACTTCTGTGGACATAAGGTACTTGTACCTGCATGTACCCACCTTTCCAGTCTCTCATCTGCAACATGAGTATTCACCAATGCTTAGTCCTACTATTAGCCCTAATGCTGTCTCGTGGAACCCCCATTGTGGAATACTTAGACCACCTGTTGAGGGAACCATAGGCACGGGCTTCTGTTGGACAACATAAACTTGACTGCTCAGAAATTGCAGTGGTTCGGGGGGATCCTGAGCCTTGAGAAGCGTGACTGGAAATGACACATCATTTGGAGTATCTGAGTCTAGTCCTGGACACAACTCCTTTTAGAGTGTTTCTTCCACAGGAAAAACTTCAGACTTTCTGGTCCTGGATTCGAGCTTTCCAGTCCAGGAGTCGCATTACTTTCTGCTTTTGCATTAGTGTCCTGAGTTTGATTTTAGCCTCCTTTTTAAATGGTTCCATTTGCCCAGTTTTACTCCAGACCTCTAGTTCACTATGTACTGTCATCAAAAGACAAGTCAATCAGGTCCCTGGACAGGTTGATTTTGTTTGCCACCATGGACCAGATTGTCCCTAGTAGTTCAGGAAGCTGACTCTGGTATTGAGGAATTCCTTAATTCCCATATTCTCAAAGATCATCTGGGCAACTGCCAGCCTGTCGATTTGGGAAGAATCCTGAGCACCTTGTCAATGCAAGAGTGCTAGTCAGAATCTCATCTGATCAACACCCTGGATCCTTAGGTGATTTGGCTGTCTCTGCAGCATTTGACCATACTAGAAGGTCATCCAGTCTGGATTCAGGAAGACAACGCCATGGCAGTGGCTTACATCAACCATCAGGGATGTCTCATTGTGGCAGGACAGGGTTCAGATCCTGTGTTGAGCAGAATTTCAAGTTCCTGTTTTTTCCATCAATTGGCAAGCAGACATACTCAGCCTCAAGCATCTGGATTTGGGGGAATGGTCCTTATGTCCAGAGGATTTCTAGGTCCAGTGTTCTAGGTGGGGGACACTGAATGTGGACCTTCTGGCATCCAGGTTAAGCGACAGACTGGACAGGTTTGTCTCCAGGTACAGGGATCCTCTAGCGGAAACAGTGAATGCATCGGTAACCCCACAGGTTCAGTATACCCTCATCTCTACAATTCACCCCCTGGGTGGGCATTATTGTGACTCTCATTGCTCATGTCTTACACCATATTATTAACATTAAATGGTAATTTATCAAAAATATGGTCATTTAAACATACATTTGAGATCATATAGACCTTAGATCAGGCTTTTGACCGCTAAAATAACACAATGTGAATGCCTGAAAACACATAGTATGGGCAGTTTTAAACATTTTGGGGTTTTTTGCATTTTGTTACGCATTTTCTGCAGAAGTAGCAAACCTTCTCCTCTTTGTAAGCACAACTGAAGCTGAATACGTCCTGAAAAAACACATTACAAAATAGCTTACAACACTATACAAACACTCCAATGCTGAGGTGAGCATGGAGCCTTAGGCTAAATATGAAATATCCTGATATACATAGGGATAAAAGCCCAGGCACAGCTTTTATCACATCTTTGAAATTTTACTGAGCACTCTTCATATTCTAAGTTTTATGTAAGCGGTTTTTGATGGATCCTTCTAGTCCCAGCCACAAGTTTGAAGTTTATACCAATAAGTAGGGTTGCCAATTCATACATGTGCCCCTCTGTCAGCACTGAGATCCCCCATAGAATGCTTCTCCCAGCAAGGCAATAGTGTTATTTTCCCTTGCTGAATTCTCCTTAGGGATTTGGGAAAAGCCCAGAATGGGTTCTGGTGACAACCCATAATGGGTTTGGAAGACTTCATGTAGTCAAGCCAGTTGTGAGACAGCAGAAGGGATCACCATGGTTGATTCACAACATTTTCGGGGCATGGTGCTGCTGCAACATGACGCTTGATTGTCAGTTCCTCTCCTCAACTGCCGTAATGAGTCTGCAGTCCTTGGCATATAAGAACTGTCGGCCAGCATTTGATAAATATGCTGAGGTTCCAGCACTGTAAGGCTCATCTACCTCCCATTTAGGCCTACTTTTTTTAAGTGGTCCAGAAAGCTTTACTGCCGTTACAAACATTTGCAACAAGCGTATGAGCTGGCACTCTTGGTGACAGCAGCTAGGAAGTCCAGCATATGTATGGGCCCCAGAAATGTTCAATAAGCTAGCAAGTATTCAAAGCCACAGACTTACACCCAGAATGGAGTAATCAGCTTCGGATTCATTTTACCTTTAATTATATACATACATTGGTAACCAGCAAACCCTAATCTGCATAATTCATTTTTCTCTTTAGGGGACTGAGAGATGGACAAGCAAATCCAGTCTTCTCCAGGTACTAATATCCATACAAGGTGAGCGTCTACTTCATATGTCCGCTTTATTTTTTGCAGCAAAAGTCAACAATTCTAACCACATTTTGCTAAAGCTGCCAAACATCTTAAAGACACTGATGAATGCATCTCTGTTAACATTAATACATCATTAAACATATTTTGTAAAATGCATGCAGTGGAAGTACCTCAGTTTGACTTGGTATCAGCTTCTTGAAGTCCCTGTACAACAGACCCCAGAAAGGGGGAGGAAAAAAACAGCACAAGGCACCAGTCAGGTGTTGTTCTGTGCAAGGAACTTGCTAATAAGAGAAAAGAGCAGAGTGACACAGAGCTGGGGCCATTAGTCTGCTGCTTCTTATGTAAATGTCCAGTCACGGGTGGGGGTGAGCAAGAGATCTGTAAGGGAAAGGAATACTGCAGCAAAGAAAGACCAGGTCCCCTCCCTTGTCAGACATGGCCAAACTGTGTAAATCTTAGAACTGGATAGACAGAAAAACAAATCTTTGGGCAGATAATACAGCTCTGATATATTTATTTATTTAATCTATGTACTTAGCTGTTTGCATGGAGTTCAGCTTTAACCATATATTGAGAAAATACCTATGCGGCCACTGCAGGATTCTCTTTTTGAAAATGCTAGTTGTCTGTCACTGTCATGTCAGTGGTGGTTATTCTGATGCACTGATTTCAGTGCTCTGAGAGCATGTACTGTATGTCAGTCGGCCATTTTGTCTTCACTAGCTCCAAGCCTACTTTGGTCATGTAGAAGGTATTGAACAGAAGACAGCCAAGTGACTCGCATTTGTAAAGAGAGACCTGCAGTGGCACCCAGCACTTTTTTCAGTACAGGCATCCCCCGAGTTACGAACAAGATCGGGTCTGTAGGTTTGTTCTTAAGTTGAATTTGTATGCATGTTGGAACAGGTAAATTTTTTAAGTGTAACTTCAGCCCCCAATTTTTTAGTTTTGGATAGCATATGAAAGGGTTAACCCCCTGTAAAGTTTGTTTTGCTGTGTGTGCCCCTGTTCAGAAGATGTCACCTCACTTTCTGTCCCTGTGACAATTGGATTTTGAAAATGTTGGCTTATCGTGGAAACAAGGATTGGTGATAAAGCTTCATTGGAGGCACCTTTTTCCCATGATAACTCTTACAGAAGTGAATTTCCCTTTCTAGGGGTAGATTTCCTCTCACTTCTGTTGTCTCAAGGACAGGAAGTGAGATAAAATCTTTCTAATGAGGATACAGACAGCAGTAAAAACCTCACAGTGACCCGGATGAAGAGGCGTGCACCCCTCGTCTGCACGTCTAACAAGAGCCAACTTCCTGTACTGTACATACTATACTACGAACCAGACCCCAAAAAGGCGGGCACTCCTCATCGGCACGAGCGCAGTAGCATTTCAACTACTGAAATGCTGCGCAGTACACTTTGGCTGCAGCCTGGGACACCCCGCCGTACAGTAATAGCCTCCGTTTGTAAGTGGGGGTCGTGTGTTTGTAACTCGGGGACTGCCTGTATAGGTTTTCTATAATGGTGATTCTTTGTGCCTTTTATTCCCTCTCCAGGCCTTATACTGGTAAATGAACCCTATTACAATGAGGCTGGCTTTGACAGTGACCGCGGTCTGCAAGAAGGTTACGAGAATAGCCGTTGCTACAACGAGATGGCTCTGATCAGAGTTGTACAATCTATGACGCAGTTGTTGAAGAGACCTGTGGAAGTCTTCCAACAGGAGATCATGGAACACTTTCAAAGCAACGGCTGGCGTTTAGCTCACAGGATAGAGACCTGGCTAGAAACCAATTGCATGGTAGAACAGGGAGGTGAGTTGCCTAACGGCCAGGAGCACCCTTGCATTGCACCCTACAGTCCCTCTGAGCAAGAAATCACACCAGAGCCTTCTTTAAGTTCTAAGGATTTGGACGATTCTGGGTGCGGAGCTTCCACCCTATCACCTGGAGAGGCTCCTCAGTGTTCTGACTTGGATGGAATGGGTAAGGGGGCCTCAAGTATCACCTATAGCCAGGCTGAGGAACCACAAGGGGCAACTGGAGGAGCACAGCCAAGTGTGAAACCAAAGAAACGTAGGAAGAGCTATCGTAGTTTTCTGCCTGACAAACGAGGATACCCTGACATTGGCTTCCCGTTGTTTCCCTTGTCTAAGGGCTTCATCAAAAGCATCCAAGGTGTTCTGGGGCAATACAAGGCTGCTCTCTTGGAAGCCGGCATTTTGGAGCCCCGCGGAGCCAGGCTGACATTACCATTGTAGAGACCAGATGCAATGTGGGCCTGTCTTCAGCTCCCCCACACACTACATTCTGTTTCCCCCATCTTTCATTTCTTGGGGAGGCCAATAAAACAAAAGTCTGGGGCAACATAAGACTTCTTAACCACAGTGTCTGCTGTGAGACCAAACAAGATTGTAACCGAATAAATAATGGCTGATATTATGCCGTATGCTCTGCTGTTCCCTTAATTTACTCTGTCCAGATCATCTGCTCCTGGCATAATGTCTGGGGCTGCCTTGCTGCTACAGGGCAGAGAATTTTATCATGTATTGCTCATGAAGGACTATCCCCTTACCTCTGCATAATGTCTTAGACCCAGATCATTCAAGAGTTGCTAAGTTGGCCCTGTAGCCACTCTTGTAACCACCCTCGTTTAAGGCTATTTTTGATTTGGAAGGTCAGGCCCTTTCCTTTAAAATGACCGTGCTGGTTGTCGGGACAGATTTAGATGGATATAGCTGTTATGAAGAAGTGTTATCTGGGCATGCAACTCTTCAATGATGAGAATCCTGCATTGTTCTCTTTGCATCCCACATGAATGATGTCATTTCATTATTACAAGTGTGTCTTGAAGAGCTTGTACTAGTCATGGCGAGAGTGAATGTCTAAGCTCATTGAGAATCACTTGGCCCATCGTTCTGTCAACGGCAAGCATTGTAAAGACTTGGGCACCTTTCAGTGAATAAGCTTTGTTCTCTTGTACTGCTAATAATAAACCCCATATGAAGAACTAAGCTGCTCTTTAAGGTTTGATATACTAGCAGGAATATATCGTAAAGCTAAAAACAAATGAACATTGTATCCTCTGCGAGATTGGGCAAGTTGCCTGTGTTAGCGAATGGTGAAATGCTTCTGTTTAAATACTTCGTTTGGCACATTAGCCTGCTCTGTATCACCATGTCTTTTAAATGAATCAATGGGCATCGCTCTGTTTAATATTTCAGAGGACAAAGTCTATTAATCTGTTCTATTTAGGAGCTACATCACGGCTATCTATGATTAGAAACTATCGCTATGTGAATGAAGCACTGTCTGTAGCTGCATTTATGATTATAACACTGCCATGAACAATGGAGACAGTGCAGGCCAGTGTGACCTTAACCCTTGCCTGCCCTTTATTATGGTCAGCCTTATATTTAGGCATGTTTACATCCCCCTGTATTTTCCTTTCAAATGTGAATCTTTATTGTAGAGGGGTGTGATGCTGCTACTTTCCCTTTTGTTCCTTATGATTCTTTAATTCTCCTTGTGTCTGTAACAATTAAGGGTCTAGATTACACAAAACAGGTGCAAGAAGGTGAGCATGAGTAATATATGAGCCTTTTAGACATAGGCTGTGTGATGTTATTTAATACATGTATAGAATGCGCTGTATTTTTTATTTAAGCCGCATTTTTAACCCCTCTCTCCCTGAGTGACCATTTAGCCACATGTTTCAGTTTTGGGTAGATGCAAACAGGCTGCATTGCATATTGCCTGCTTAGAGACTCGTACAGTTCCTCTCGCTATCCCATCTAAAGCTGCTTGTGCATAGAGGCTGTTGTAAGCTCCTTATTGCTTCCTTTCTCGTATCACCGCTCTCTAGCAACCCCTAGATAGCAGCTGTAAAAATCAACTTTACCTCCTTTTATTTTAGATCCCTTAATACCTCTTTTTCCCATTGACTAAAATTATATTTTCTGTTGACTGAGCTCAGCCAATAGAAACAAAAATCCAGCCAGGTGGGAAAGGAGGGATGATGTCCTTGCACCCAGACAGACTTCAGAAGGTAAAGTTGATTTCTACACAGCGTCTGTCTAGGAATTGCTGCAGAGCTGTTCTATAAGAAAGGGAGCAATTACCAGCTGACAACAGTCTATACACAGGCACTGTTACATGGAATAATAGGGGAATGACCGGGGTCCCTTTACATTTCTGGGGTACTCTGTTAGAAAATGCTGCCTGCTGGAGTTCCTGTGTCTGCTCCACCTGACCACGGAGTCCTGATTTGAACTGGATTATATCAGCCAAGCTGTGGATGTGGAAACTCAGGTACAGAGATCACTTCTCTGGGGGTCCTCAAAGAGATGTAAGAAACTAGTGCGCGATTGAAGTTGGTAGCGTTTGCTCAGCAGTCAATATCTGTTTTGAGTGGACTGACCCTTTCAATGAGAACTCCGCCAAGAAGTTATTGTTTTGGGTGGAATGTGATTAAGGAACCTTTTGTGTGTGGTGCTTTACCTACCAGCAGAGTTCCACTGCAAATGTTTCACAATTGTTCGCCATGTTGCTCGGACTGCTGCACATATCATTGTGCTGAAAAGTTCCCTGTTATGGCAGCAGCCAGACATTTAATGCCAACAAGCAGCATCAAGAGGAGGAGCTCAGTTGGGGAACATCAGTGCAGTAAGCTCCGGTGATAAAGCTCTGAAATGGTGTTTCTCAGCTCTGGTCTTTGGTCACTTTCCTAATTAGTAACTACTAAAGGCAAACCTGTGTGCTCAATAACAACACTCTCCTCTGGGTTCCAAATCAGTGCCCACAGAGCCACCCAGATCTCCATGGAAGTTCCTACTAGGGCTGCAACTAATGATTATTTTCATAATCGATTAGTTGGCCAATAATTTTTTCTATTAATCGGATTTAAAAAATGAATTACAGTCCCCAATTTAAAATAAAATACACAAATGCAGTGTTACAAACATAAAGTTTCCTTCAGAATAAAACCATATGCACAATTTTTTGCAATCGCACTGCACGGTACTGTGCGTTCCAGTGCGGGAGATCACACTTTGGGTGGGAAGCGCATTTGGGGTGCCGTTGGAATGAATGGCACTGCAACGCACCTCCTGCATCAAAATGTGTCAGGCCGAAACCGAAAATGATTTTTCCCACCTTTTTTATAATTTGTTTATTTTAATTATTGTATTGTAAGCACATGGCACTTGAATAGCTTCAGCCAGAGAATGACAGCTGCCAGTGGCAAGATTCCACAGACGGTAGCTAAATATAAATACAGCGGGAAGTGGGTGGGTGCAGTAGCCAATAGCAAGCTGGCTATTGCACCCACCCACTGCTTGCTGTACCCTCCTCCCAGCGTGCAGGAGAGAGCTAGGGGATTCAACCAACTAATCGATAATGAGAATAGTTGTCAACTATTTTCATTATCGATTAGTTGGTTGCATCCCTATTTCCTACACCTCCATGTAGTGGAGAGGAGTCACCTACCCCCATTCCACAAGACAATGTTAATTGCCTAAGCAAGCAATCCATACCTCTCCCCATTTTCACTTTGTGGGGAGAGGTGGAGTTGTCCACCTTTTTCTTATGCAAATAGCATCTTTCAGCGAATCACTATTTGCATATCAGAAGTGGACTGACACTGGATTGATAGAGTCTGACAAAGAAAGTATGTAGTGACTGCTTAGTCTGTCACCTATTGGCCTGCAATTTTACATTATGGGGATAGTAAGCCTGTCAACCATTTAAAAACCCATCTGATTGGCTTGCTGAATTTAGCCCAGTCCACCTTCCCTTCTCTTTAGTGAGAACACCCTTATTGAACACTTGAAGGTTTCTAATTGTGCATTACACATTGGTGAAGCTTGACTATAGGTGTAGTCCTTAACCGCAAGGTCAGGGAAATTGCTTTTAGTAACACGGGGTAACCAGGATCAGAGAGGCACACAGTAGAGATTTCTCTGACTAGCAAAGGTCATGGCAAACCTCTTATGATACCTGTTCTTAACATGGTGGGCAGGTTGGGTTTAAAATAAAATGTCAATTGTGCCACCCGTAATTCTGTGAAATCCTCCTGCAGTGTTTGGCCAACAATGAGGACTGGAGTTAAGAAACACAACTTTTCTAATCACCTTCCATACAAATCTGTTCTTGGTGGAGTTCTCCTATAATTGAACCTGACTTGAGAGATCCTATGTCGATTTGTCTCCAGCAGAGCATCGTTTCTTCTCTTCCTGCTGTGTGGGGTTATTGTGCACATATCAGACAATACCTAATACGTTTTCCTAGTGGCATTGCTGCCTATCCTCATATTCTGGACATGGTGAAATTGATCTCAGGGCCGAAGGGGATAAAAATTCTAATGAATGAACATTTTACCCTGCTTCTGGCAGATGTACAGTATTTAATTGCTGGCAATGGATAATTCTAAACCAAAATGCTGTAAAATTGAGTGCTGGTGCTTCTGATGTGTGTGTATAGTGCTGTGAGACCTTTTTTTTTTACAATTTTTTTTTTGTTTGCTAACTTAATGTTTGGAAAAAAAATGCAGATTGTTAAATTAAAGATGCCTCTGCTTAACAATTGTGAGGAGTCCCTGGTTTAATGTCACACGTACAAATGATAAAATGTGTAAATAATAAAAAAATAAAAACTTAATACATACTCTCACACACTATACAAGTGTGAAATCTACACTGAGGAAAATGTATAGGATGGATACAATTAAAAGGGTCATTATCATAGCTGATGATCAAACCTCAAAAGTCATTGAAATATATGGCGAGTAGCTTCAAGAGCAATTCTGAGAAACTCCAGCTGAGAAAGTAAGGCAGTGTTTGGTCCCAGGATGGTGTGCATCCTTCCCCTTCTGTTAGGAGTTGACAAAATAACATTCCAAACAATATAAGTGTAGCCACTCTTATTCTTTCAGTGCATCTTCAAATGCTGGCATACATGATAAACCGTGTATTGGTATTCTATACCATTCTAGAAAAGTGATTTATTTCAGATAAATTAGATGGAAAACCAATTTTCTTGATTGTACATCACAGGACACAGTGAATTCATTCTTGGACCACTGAGTTATGCAGCTACCTTCAAGTGATTAGACACTGGCAAATAAATAAAAGCTTCAGGACAGCGCTGTATAACCCCCTCGCACTACTGCCCTGTAATAGACGTATTCTCTTAGCTCTGAAAGATATACTCTCTTTCTCACTAGTTTTCAACTCAGACATAGTCAAACTCTTGGCGGACTCTTAATGAGCACTTTAGATTGTTCAGACCTTTTGTCCCAATGACCGGTATGCCTTCCTGCTTCTCAGTTGCGGATTATAACATCATGGCTGTTGAAGCCTAAGTCCTGAGGGACGGGTTCATTATTGTAGACGCTGTCATCTTAAGGCTAAAAAGTGTTCCTCCCACAAGGTCTGCCATTACACCTGGAAGATGTACGTCATGCAGTGCGATGTTAGGAAGTTCCATTCTAGGAAGAACTGCGTGGGACACATTTTGTCCTTCCTCCAGTCTGGCCTGGACCAGCTTTTGCCCTTGAGCATGAAGGGTCAGATATTTGCCTTTGGTGAAGGCTTTTGTGCACACATTCCCTGTTTGTGCTCCAGTGACT